TTAATTAATAAAATAAAAATAAAAAACCAGGCCTGGTGGTGCATGTCTGTGGTACCAGCTACTTGGGAAGTTGGGGTGGGAGGATTACTCGAGTCTAGGAGGTTGAGGCTGCAGTGAGCTGTGATTGTGCCACTGCACTCCAGCCTGGGTGATGGAACAGGACCCTGTCTCAAAAAACAAATAAACAAAATTGCAGTAAACTAAGATTAATCTATTATTGAAAAAAATATGTATAAATTTAGTGTAGCCTAAGTATACAGTGTTTATGAAGTCTACAATAGCATAGAGTAATATCCTAGGCCTTCACACTCACTCACCACTCACTCAAGGACTTACCCAGAGCAACTTCCAGTCCTGCAAGGTCTATTCATGGGAAGTATCCTATACAAGTCTACCATTTTTTAATCTTTCATATTGTGTTTTTCACTATGTCTTTTCTATGTTTAGATACACAAATATTGTGTCACAATTGCCTACAGTATTCAATACAGCAACATGCACTACAGATTTGTGGCTTAGGAGCATTAGGCGACACCATAAAGCTTAGATGTGTAGTAGGCTCTACCCTCTAGGTTTGTGTAAGTACACTCTGTGATGTTCATACAACAATGAAATCACCCAGTGGCACACTTCTCAGAATGTATCCCTGTCACTGAGCGACACATGACTATATTGAAGAACGCTAAGGAAGTATAGGCTGGGTCAGAGACAGACCGAGCAATGGTGGAGATCATTTTTTTGTAAAATCCTTCTTATATTTATGTGTTATCCCATGATAGATTAGAGCATAGTGTTTCCCTGATTCCATTTTATGTAACATCCAGCCTAGAATTCCCCTCAGGTGCCTCTGCTTAAGAGGTGTTGCACTGTGTCCTAGTTCGCAAATACAGAGTGCTGTTGGGCCAGGCCGAGCTGGCCCAGAACAAATATAGTCACATACATTGTGTTTCCAGAGTCTTTCACTGCCCCAGAGTGGTATCCTGCTGCCCTTTTCACTAGTAGCTTTATTGTACATTACTATTTCTCTCCTAGGAGGACTTCATCCCTGCAACAAAACCTGTACAGTAGTAAAGCAAATCTATTTGTAGATTAAGAAAGTTCATCTTTTTTTGAAAAAAATCATCCACTAATTTGGCTTAAACCTGGATTGGAGTTTTTTTTTTTCTCAAAACAGATTAAAACTAGAAACAAAAGCTCAGTTAAAATAGTTCAAATACAGGAGTTTTCCATTACTCCTATCCCCTGCTCACAGTTCAAGGTCAATGGGAAGGTAATTCATTTCTCAAACTGACCCAGATCTCTGCCCCAGTAAACAGATCCATTTGCTGGGTCTGAGCTCATGGCAAAGCCTGTCTGAATCAAGGTATGCATCTTCTTAGTATTAGAGCCAGACCTTCAGCCTGGGATCATATCATCTGGGTTACTTAGAGATACTTTAAAAATATATGTCGTTTTTATTTTTTTGAGATGGAGTTTTGCTCTTGTTGCCCAGGCTGGAGTGCAGTGGTGCAATCTCGGCTCACTGCAACCTCTGCCTCCCAGCTTCAAGCAATTCGCCTGTCTTAGCCTCCCAAGTAGCTGGGATTGCAGGTGTGTGCCACCACGTCCAGCTAATTTTTTTGTATTTTTAGTAGAAACGGGATTTCATCATGTTGACCAGGTTGGTCTTGAACTCTTCACCTCAGGTGATTCATCGCAGCCAGCCAAAAATAAATATCTTTAAATTAGTAGTTAAACATAAATTAGGAGTTAAATTGTAGTATGACATCTCTCAGCTAGGCATCTGATACTATCAAGATAGTTTTAACATGTGTTGATGAAATAATTGTTCTCATTGTAAAATAAACAAAAAGAAGGAAATTCATGAAAGTTTCTCCATCACTTTGTATTTTATTTACAAATGGTTGAGCTTGTATGTGCAATTTGTGAATAGCCTCTTCCAAATTTAAGTGTGGAGCTGTTTATGGCCAGTCTATATCTATCTCAATGTCTGGAAAGGTTTCTATGGACTTGTGATGCCTAAAAGCATAACACTTTTACATTGCTGATGCTGGTATTTAGGGTTCATGTATCCTCTCACCTAAAGAGAACATTATTCTGTCATTCCACATAAACTCAAAACACCTATCTGCAAATCTGAGTGCAGTCTGTTTTCTGCTATGTGATGTGCAAGCTCTTAATTAGTCTCTCTGGCCCCAGTCTCTTCCTCTTCTGATAATACCACACCTGGCCAACAAACATACCTCCAAAATGCAGACAATGGAAATATGGAAGTTCTAAGGTGAAGCTAAATTTGGAATGAATGTGAGTTTATATTTAGGCATGCTGACTTTGAGGAAATGAGAGGGCATTCAAGGAGGAGCTATTGCAAGGATAGTGACAGATTCTGAATACGTAGTATAAGAGGGTAAATTGAGTCATACAGATAGAGATCTTAGTTGGAGTCATGACATCTCTGACTGAGGCCTGAGAGTGTAGAGTGATGGTGAGCAACCTTTTTTTTCTTTTCTTTCTTCTTCTTTTTTTTCTTTTTAAACAAGGGACTTTTAAAAGTATCAGAGATGGACTTTATTTTTGTAAACATTCAAAGTGAAGATAACGTCATTGAATTCAATGACAAAAATGTATGCTTTAAGATGGTTTAGTGAAGTATGACTATTCTTCCTCCAGGCAAGTGTTTTCTGGCATTTTCTTGATACATATGTGGCATGGGATTTAGGGAATGGATAGTGGAGGTGTTAGTGGAGAACTGAGAGAAGAAGGGGAGCCAGAGAAGAGCTGTCAACTTTCAAAATGTTGAAAGAAGGAAGAAGGGATAAAATAAGCAAAAGTCCAAAAAACTAAGTACTTGTGAAGGGTTGTGGGTTTATGTTTGAGGATTATAGAGAGTAGAATGGAACTCAAGCGTGGCGCTATACAATGAATGGGTTCCTCTTTGATGTTTTTTTCAGAGTTGGAAGTAAAGGTTAGAATACCTTTTAAAAATTGCTACGTATCTTGGCTGGGCACGGTGACTCATGCCTGTAATCCCAGCACTTTGGGAGGCCGAGGCAGGTGGATAGCCCGAGGTCAGGAGTTTGAGACCAGCCTGGCCAACATGGTGAAACTCCATCTCTGCTAAAAATACAAAAATTACCTGGGTGTGGTGGTGTACGCCTATAATAACAGCTACTTGGGAGACTGAGGCAGTAGAGTCACTTGAACCTGGGAGGCGGAGGTTGCAGTGCACCAAGATCACACCACTGCACTCCAGCTGGGACAAAAAAGTGAGACTCTGTCTCATAAATAAGTAAATAAATAAAATTACTATGCATCTCTTTATGTGACTCTGAGCAGAGTCTCAGACATAATGGCACTCCGTGATTTATTAGGGTTACAAGAAGAATGCGGATGAGAAACTTGGCAATGCTTTTGAACCACTAAAATGTTATCTGGTCATATCTAAGATGTCACAACACAGAAGGAGCTTTCTAATCTTTTATACCTTAATTTCCATGGCTCTTTAGAGTTTATAAATGTCTTCACATTTATATCTTATTTTATCTTTGGAATGACTTCTTGAATTGTTATCCATAATTTATAAATGGGGAAATTGAAGCTTAGAGAAGTGAAAGCTAGAAGCAGATCAGAGTTTATAATTAGTTCCAGTCAATTTATCATCTACTGAGCCTTGATCTGAGTTTCAGGTTGTACTAGATATTGGGAATGCAAAAATTAATAAAATGTGCAACCAGTCCTCAACCATTACACCATTACTTTCTTTGCTCTTCCTAAATTCTCTCCAAGAGGTTTGATATCCTCCCTTAGCTTGGGTTGGGTTGCTTCATCATGAGATACAATATTGAGCATCACCTATACAAACAACCAGCTTACAGAAAGTATTGACTACAGGGTACTCTAGCAGTTCTACATCTATGATATAATTGCAAAGGTGGCTAGACACAGTGGTTCATGCCTGCAATCCCTATGCTTTGGGAGGCCAAGTCAGGAGGATTGTTTGAGGCCAGAAGTTTGAGGCTGTAGTGAGCTATCGTTTTGCCACTGTATCCCTGAGCAAGACCCTGTATCGAAACATAAAAAATAAAAAGAATTGCAAAGTTAAATAAGATAGGGGAACTCTTATATAACTACATTAGAAGGCAGTTCAGCAAAATCTGAACTAAAGATGTCTTTATCTTACAATCTAGCAATTTTACTTCTCCATGTAGAAACTCTCCCTTAAAAATACAAGAAGATGGGTAAATGAATTTTCATTGAAGCATCATGTATAACAGAAAAATAATTGGAATTGATGTAAGTTTCCATCCACCTGAGAATGGATAAGTAAATTGTTATGTGATCACACAATGGAATACAACATATTAGTTAAATGAACTAAAACTGGAATTAAAATATGCAGAAATCTCAAAAAATGCAATGCTGAGTGAAAAAGAAAGCAGAAAATACATGACATATGCTACTGATTACACTGTTTTAACACATAAAATAATACTAGATATTTTTATCTGTGATAAGCATTTTAGAATATTCATGGTAGTGATAAACGTCATACTCAAGATAGTTGTTATACCTTGTTGAAGAAAAAAAGGTTATCATATAGCATGCAGAAGGCTTTAGCTGATTCTGTGTTGGTTCTTCAAAAAAAAAAAAAAAGAATCTGAAGCAAATATGGCACCAGTTAATATTTGACAAAGATGAGTGGGGGGAAAATGTTTGTTATTACTTTCTATATGTTGATGCTTGAAATATTTAAAGATGTATATCGCTCCTAGACTTTGGAATTCTTGGCTTTTGTGTTGTGTTGTGTGTGTGTGTGACAGTGTTAAGAGCAGGGACAATGTCTTCAATTTTGCTAATTCTTCCTCAGTGCCTAGGAGAGCCTAACCAAATACTTATTAAAGTGTTATATTTACCAATAATTATAACCCTTCTTATAAAACCTTTACATAGAAAGTTTAAAATAATAATTTGAGCCTCAACATTTGCTTTTATTTTTCCAGAGAGAGAATGCTAATGAGCTGTGAAATGACCAAAGATCTGGCAGCAGAAGGGAAAAGAAAAAATAACGGGTTTGTGTATTACACATTCTAGATAATCAGCTCTTGAATGATTAAGTGTGGGAGATGTCTTATGGGGAAAAGCAGACTTTTAAAGCTCATTTTATGACCATGGAATTGTTGTTTTGATCATTTCCAGTTTTCAGCTAATCCTATGCCAAACTTACCTATTATATTGGAAAAATACAATTCTCTTATGATATCCCATATAACCACATACAAATAGACCTTGTGATTGTTCTGCCTTCACATCAATATTGATTAGACTAGACAGGGGAATGGTGGTCTGGGGAAACTAAGAAACAAACATTATTACACCTGTTGAACCAGGAAGGAATTTTAAAGAAAAAAAATTACCTTGAGTTCAATATACTCTTGGTATATCATGTAAAAAGTGCTTGGGGCTTGAAGCAGCCACTTGAAATTCAGGTTTGCCTGAAACATCAAAATGAAAGTTAGTCTATCCTAGTCCAGATGAAAGCTAAAGGGCACAGGAAATAGAAAGAGGTCTGGACTACATTGTCTCTCCTTGAAATTGAAAGTAAGGATCTAAAAAGAAGACACATTTAGGAATCAGTATGGTTACTTTTAGCAAAAGGGGCAGTTTCCATGGTCTGGGTCAAAATTAGTACCATTTAGTCACTGGAGCTTTTCCTAATGGACCTTAGTAATGTTTTAATTAAACCAGGCCACCATCTCATGGTTCTTTGGGATAGGTGCTACAACACCCAACATAGAGTTCTCTAAAGTAAACTACCTACATCTGTATTTATGACCGCATTTTAAACTTTGCAGTATATTTCTAAAATTACTACTCCCCTCTAGCCCTGTGTCATTTGCCTGGCAAAGAAAACAAAGAGTACAAAAATATCTTGCAATTTGGTGAGGCATTTATATATTTCTTCATGTTCACCCATTTGTAGATATTAATGTTGAAGCAAAATCCTAAAGCAACATGACCAGAGTATTGTTGCAGTCATTATGAGCCTTATCATTGGTCTCTGCAGTTTTTTCTTTCCTCCAATAAATAGATGCAAGAAAAATAATGGTATATAGAGAATACATATTATTAATATATTGGATACTTAAAGTTCCTCAGTCTAATTGTTTGTAGCCTAGAATTAATTTCCCATGGAAATAATGTAGTTAATTATGGGTAGATGCCAAGGCTGGGCCACAAAACCTCATATAATATTAGTAGATGTGGCAGGAAGAATTGATTGAGAAACTGTATTTTATTTTCTTATCTATTGGCTCATGGAAAAAGGAGAAGTATTTCTTTTTCCCTTCTCCTCTTAGAGGGAGGGTTAAGCTGTGGTGATCCTCTGATGCTTAAGCCCATTTTTCTGATGGAGGCAGAAGATTCCATGACTTGGAACAGGAAAGACTCCAAGAAAAGGAAAATGGGCCCATGTCAGGAGAATTTAGGTCTCCTGCACCTGCCTGGAGAGAACCAGTCAGGAGTCAGTTTCTATAAATGGTGAGGGGCTATGTCCACTCCCAAATAGATCAGAATGGTAGAGATGTCCAAGGGGGATGTCAGCAAGGTTATCTTGTCTCAGAAGTGATAAAAATACCAAACTACACAAGGATATAATAAGCCAAGGGCGAATGTTGTAAACTCTAGATCACCATTAAAAGAATAATAAAAATATTTATAACTGACATAATATGGAAATAGTCAAAGAAAGAAAGAATAGTTAATTAAAAATAATTAAGCTGGCTGGGCGCAGTGGCTCAAGCCTGTATTCCCAGCACTTTGGGAGGCCAAGGCGGGTGGATCACGAGGTCAAGAAATTGAGACCATCCTGGTCAACATGGTGAAACCTTGTCTTTACTAAAAATACAAAAAATTAGCGGGGCATGGTGGCACGTGCCTATAATCCCAGCTACTCAGGAGGCTGAGGCAGGAGAATTGCCTGAACCCAGGAGGCGGAGGTTGTGCTGAGCCGAGATCGCACCATTGCACTCCAGCCTGGGTAACAAAAGTAAAACTCCATCTCAAAAAAAAAAAAAAAATTAAGCTAATGGAGGGCAAGAAAAAAGACAAAAAGGAGCAAATAATAAGTGGGGCAAAAAGAAAAATAGTAAAATGGTAGCTATGAACCCAAATATCTCATTAAGTAACTTGAATATTAAAATTAATTATAAATATAAAATATTAAATAAAAATGGCATAATGTCGTGCTGAAAGATTGTCATACTGGCTAAAATAATTGCATCCGCTTTTTTTTTTTTTTTTTTTTTTTTACAAAAGATACAATAATAAAAGAATAGAAAAAAACATGTTATGCAAAAGCTATCCCCCCCAAAAGCTTTTATAGCTGTACAATAACATACACAGTAGACTTCAAATAAAGAAACATTATTAGAAATAAAGTGGGATATTTTACAACAATAATATCAATCAGGAAGATACAAGTCTAATTCTGTGTATAACTTGCAATATACTTTAAAATATATTAATTAAAAACCACAATGAGAAATAGATCTACAAGAACGGTAAAATATTTTCAATAACCAATAAAAAAGTAGATACAAATTAAGGAGAAGAACCACATGATTACCTCAATAGATGCAGAAAAGGCCTTTGACAAAATTTAGCACCCCTTCATGCTAAAAACTCTCAATAAACTAGGTATTGATAGAACGTATCTCAAAGTAATAAGAGCTTTTTATGACAAACCCACAGCCAATGTCATACTGAATGGTCAAAAACTAGAAGCATTCCCTTTGAAAACTGGCACCAGATGGGGATGCCCTCTCTCACTACTCCTATTCAACATAGTATTAGAAGTTCTGGTCAGGGCAATCAGGCAAGAGAAAGAAGTAAAGGGTGTTCAAATAGGAAAAGATGAATTCAGATTGTCTCTGCAGAGGACATGATTGTATATTTAAAAATCCCCATTGTCTCAGCCCCAAATCTCCTTAAGCTGATAAGCAACTTCAGCAAAGTCTCAGGATACAAATCAATGTGCAAAAAACACAAGCATTCCTATACACCTAGAATAGACAGAGAGGCAAATCATGAGCAAACTCCTATTCACAATTGCTACAAAGAAAATAAAATACCTAGGAATACAACTTACAAGGGATGTGAAGGAACCCTTCAAGGAGAATGAAAGACCACTGCTCAAAGAAATAAGAGGACACAAACAAATGGAAAAACATTCTATGCTCGTGGATAGGAAGAATCAGTATTGTGAAAATAGCCATACTGTCCAAAGTAATTTATAGATCCAGTACTATCCCCATCAAGCTACCATTGACTTTCTTCACAGAATTAGAAAAAACTACTTTAAATTTCATATGGAACAAAAAAGCCCGCATAGCCAAGAGACTCCTAAGCAAAAAGAACAAAGCTGGAGGCATCACGCTACCTGACTTCAATCTATACTACAAGGCTACATAACCAAAACAGCATGGTACTGGTACCAAAACAGATATATAGGTTAACAGAACAGAACAGGGGCCTCAGAAATAACACCACATATCTACAACCATCTCATCTTTGACAAACCTGACAAAAACAAGCAATGGGGAAAGGATTCCCTATTTAATAAATGGTGTTGGGAAAACTGGCTAGCCATATGTAGAAACCTGAAACTGGACCCCTTCCTTACACCTTTATATAAAAATTAACTCAAGATGGATTAAAAACTAGAACATAAGACCTAAAACCATAAAAACCCTAGAAAAAAACCTAGGCAATACCATTCAGGACATAGGCATGGGCAAAGACTTCATGACTAAAACACCAAAAGCAATGGTAACGGAACACAAAGTTGACAAATGGGATCTATTTAAACTAAAGAGCTTCTGCACACCAAAATAAACTATCATCAACGTGAACAGGCAACTAGAGTGGGGGAAAGTTTTTGCAATCTATCCAGCTGACAAGGGGCTATTATCCATGATATACAAAGAACTTAAACAAATTTACAAGAAATAAACAACCCCATCAAAAATTGGGTAAAAGATATGAACAGGCACTTCTCAAAAGAAGACATTTATATGGCCAACAAACATATGAAGAAAAGCTTGTCATCATTGGTCATTAGAGAAATGCAAATCAAAACCACAATGAGATACTATCTCACACCAGTTAGAATGGCGATCATTCAAAATCAGGAAGAAACAGATGCCAGAAAGGATGTGAAGAAATAGGAAGACTTTTACACTGTTGGTGGGAGTGTAAATTAGTTCAACCATTGTGGAAGACAGTGTAGCAATTCCTCAAGGATCTAGAATTAGAAATACCATTTGATGCACCAATACCATTACTGGTATATACCCAAAGGAATATAAATCATTCTACTTTAAAGACACATGCACACATATGTTTATTGTGGCACTGTTCTCAATAACAAAGACTTGGAATCAACCCAAATGCCCATCAGTGATAGACTGGATAAAGAAAATGTGGTACATATACACCATGGAATATTATGCAGCCATAAAAAAGTATGAGTTCATGTCCTTTGCAGGGACATGGATGAAGCTGGAAACCATCATTCTCAGCAAGTTAATACAAGAACAGAAAACCAAACACCATATATTCTCACTCATAAGAGGGAGTTAAACAATGAGAACACATGGGCACAGGGAGGGGAACATCACAGGGCCTGTTGGGGGTGGGAGACTAGGGGAGGGATAGCATTAGGAGAAATATCTAATGTGGCTTGATGGTTGCAGCAACCCACCATGGCATGTATATACCTCTGTAACAAACTTGCACATTCTGTACATGTACTGTAAAACTTAAAGTATAATCAAATAAATAAATAAGAAAGAAAACACAAAATTTAAACATGATTAACAATTTGCAAAATTGATATATATTGAATATTTCACCAAACAACTACAGAATTCATTTTCATTTTATATGAACATGGACCATTTACTAAAAGTGGCAATAACTTGGGCCATAAAGCAAGCTTCAGTATATTTCAAAAGATTGACATAATAAAGAGTATGTTCTTTGAGCAGAGGAGAATTAACCTAATAATATT